TGAAACAAGCTTGTTCCTAATTTGAACTAATAAAAGAATAAAAAAAAGAGAGAGAGAAATGGACCATGAGGCAGGCCATTTGTAGCTAAATCCCAAGTGATGTTCATGGCATACCAAGTTACTTTGCACTGGACAGGAATGGGTGACCCTTAGCTTGGAAATCAGTCCATTTCCAGGGGTAGCAGGGTAGTTTAGAGCCAGTATTTATAACTCAGATTCAAACCTGCCTCTACTGATTGTACTGCAAATTTAGAGCAATCATTTTATCTATTTCTGTGGCTTCCTTCCAATACAGGATTTTAAATATCCCTGGTTTAAATCTTCTTAGTGTGCTTATAAAGAACCAGTGAGATAATATTCATAAAATGCCAAACACATCCCCGGCACACAGTAAGTTCTGTGTGGATAGTACTCTGGATTCCCTTCTGCATCTCCATAGTAGCTCAGCTTCCTCTCCCCACCAGTCCTGGAAGCCCAAAGCCTCTACCTCTGCTTTTGTCCAGAGGAGCAAGTGGATGAGTGGCTGAAACAAATGGCAACAGGTCTACTTTGCTCGGAAAGGTCAGGGCTGACCTGCCACCCACTTGGTTGTCTCTTTCCATTTATTGAAGATCACAAAATGTAGTATCCGTGCGTCAAGGGACCCAGAATTGTATTTTACACTTTATGGCTCCTTTTCCGTTGTAGAGGAGGTGGTTTATGACTCCCTGTGATAAGCACTTAACTGCTAAGATGCAAACAAAGAAAAGGACTGGTCAGAAGACACGAGGTACTCCCACCAGAGAGTCTCACTTCTTGAGCATTATTCAGATTAGCTGCGGGACTCATGATTCTGTGTTTTCATTTATTGCTGCAGTAAACTAAATGGTTCTTTATCCAAATGTTATTTCCTGGCTATTAATTCAGTAGTTATTTTGGATTGTGACACTCCTCTTTGATTTAGGGATATGGCACCTTATAAATATTTAAAAGCTGAAGACTGACACTTTGAGAAATTGACTTTGATTTGTTTTGTTAATATCGTATGGCTAGAGTAATTATAGGCTTGGAGGATGTGGCCCCATCCTGTGCTCCTCAGGCGGGATTGGGGGCATGTATCTACAGCACAAGGAACTCAGCAATAGAAGGCTCTTCCGGGGGCTTTTGCAGGTGAGATGGCCACACCTCTCTCCGCCGGATGTCCTCTGCCTTTTATTCTTCATTGTTGAGAACCTGCTCTTAAACCCAAGAATGTATGGTTGAAAACTGTCCATATTTGGCAAAATGGTCAAAAAAAAATCTCCTCCTGAAAGTCTGGGAATGTTTTATGTATCTGTACATGCCACCAAGGGTTTACAACAGGGCTCGGGGTGATGTATGGACTGGTATGATTTAACTGTGGATCAATCAACCTATTAGGGAAAAAAGACAAGGTCAATAAGGTTGGGTCTTAGTGAACCAGAGGTCATCCTCCATTTCTCAACCTAATGTTCTTATTTCCTTTCCATTAACATTTCATAATGAAAAAATGCCTATATTCTTTAATTTTTGAGACAATTAAGTGAATTTAGTGCCTTTGAAGGGGGAGGATTTATAATGGCATAGAGGCCCACACTATTAATAACCAGAAGACAGGGGCCACTGGGAGAGTAGCAATGATGTCGCCATTGCCATTTAGGCATCTTTGGCGACAATCAGTAAGAGGTTTCAGTCTCCTGTTTCAACTCAGAAGCAGACTTTCCTGCTGAGACCAGAAAGACCTGTGTCATTTTGGGTAGTGCCTTTGTCCCTTAGGAAGCAGTTTTCTGGTTGCTCTTAAAATTGAACAAAGTGCAACAAATATAGATCTTTTCAAATACTTGGCATTCTCTATATGTAAACCCCAAAAGTGGGAGGGGAACATTTTTAAAGGAGACAATGTTGTCATTAACAAGTTCTCTCCCAGTTTCTTTGACAAGAAGTTTGAACTAATGGTAAGCACATAGACAACAAAGCATACAGTAAAGAAGCCTGTTAGCCCAACATGGTGGCACATAACTAGTCCCAGTATTCAGAAGGGAGTTCAAGGCCAGCCTTTGCTCCATTGGAAAGCTGCAGATTACTACTAGTACTACTGCAGAATTTCACATGAGATCAAGGAATTGACAAGTGGTCAGAGTAACTTATGTGAGTTAACTATGAATATCTTGTAGGTGGGCATAATGGTATAATTGTTGAATATTACCTAACAAAACAAAGTATGTATGTATGTACGTATGCATGCATGAAATGGGCAGAACACGGGGCAGCAGATGTTGTCAGATGTAGCATGAGTCAGATTGACCATTATCTTCAATGATGGGAATTGAACAATTCATAAAACAAAATAATTGTAATCAGTAATGAAATTTCAACAATCTTACTTGATTAAAATAAATCTAGGTGTTGTAAGTGGTTGCTCTTCATTTGTTGCCAGAGGAATATGACTGTGTCTATGTTTGTAACAGCATGGGGCAGCTGATTCATGTTCAACACTGATGTGTTCAATCCTGCAGAGATCCAAGTGCATCAGTGTTTATTGCCACCCTGTTAACAATAGCCAAGATATGGAATCAACCTAAATGCCTGTCAGCAGAGTAACAGATAAATAAAATGTGGTTCATGTAGACAGTGATATTTGATGACATGGGTTTTGTTCAGTCATATAGAAGGAAGTCGGGCTGGGAGACAGCTCAGTGGATAAGTGGTTGCTGCAGGAACATGAGGACTCAAATTCAGATATCCAGCCCCACATAAAGCTGCACACCTCTGTAACCTTAGTTACAGATCATCCTAGCCAACTGATGAGTTCTAGTTGAGTGATAGGACCTCTCTCAAAAAGAGTAAGGTAGAATAGTGGAAGACACGGTGTCAACCTCTGTCTGCCACACTCACACAATTGTGTGTGTGGAACGAACACACACACACACACACACACACACACACACACACACACATGAGCACAGGACCCTTGGCACTAGCTTCCAACCCTGTGCACTAGCTCACAACAGTGAATACCAAAAGAAAAATAAAATTGTGTCATTTGAAGCAAATAAATAGACAGACATAAATAAATAATGGAATCATCATGGTAAAAAAAGTAAGGCAGACTCAGAAGGGCAAATATTGTGTGGTTTTGCTCATATGTTGGATACATATTCAAATATATGTGTAACATTAAAGTGGAAGCAGGGCTGTTAGCCGAGATGAACAGGGATAACAGGAAGAGGGGAAGGGAGAGGGGTTGACTTTGAGCAAAATACTTGACACGCACATGTGATATTCATAATGAATATTTTGACATTTTTAAAAAGCTAATATAGATTTATCTAACTTTGCTGAAAGTTTAAAAGTAAATAAGTAAACAAGGTACTTTCATAGGGACACATACAAACCAAGAAGATATCTACCACTGTAGATTTCAAAAGCCTTACCATTGAATTCCAGAAATCTAGTACCGGCAAGCCTATTGGTATATTAAAATGATTTGGTAAAGCCTAAGGGAATTAAATTTTGATAGAAGTAAAGTCTTCGGGATGGAAGCTTAATTGTCCCAACACATAGATTTGGCCATCGCTCACCCACAGTGTGGGCAATAAGCACTGTTTGTATTTTTGCTTAGGCACATAAACTTTTGTAGAAAAGCATGGGGTTGGAGAGGCAGGATTGATTATGTGGTTTCTGGAATGCCTGGAGTGGCCAGAGCCGGATTTAATTGCTTAGCCAAAGTAGTTCCAGGGCATAAATTACTCACAGGATAATTTATACCCAGTGAATAGACTAGGAATACAAATACACAACGGTCTCTGGTAACTTGAAAGCCATAAAATAACCCCCCAGCACAGCAAGAATGGCCCAAATGGCATAGTAAACCCCACCAATTGGCATAAAAATGATTTCTAAAGATTGGGTTTCCCTCCCCTTTAGGTTTGTGCTGGATAACTGATTGACAGCCACCTAGCAGGGGGCATTTGGAAACCCTAAATATATATGACCAGTACTAGAATTGTAGTGTATATTGTTAAACAATATAGAAAATTTATCTTTTAAGTGAAACTGTGCTGAGTCTCCAGGCAGCTCTATTTAACCATCAGTGTGGCACATTTTGTACCAGAGATGAGCTGCTTGCCCTTTTATGTCCTTCTGAATATGCAGAATGTGTGTTTAATAGAGAACATTTTTGTGAGGTACAGGATACAAGCAAGGAAGAGCGGTGTACTCCCACCTCCGATTCTGCATAGAAGCAAATAAAATTCATAGCTGCTGGCCACCCAGATGTTTCCCCATGTAGCAATATGCACCAGAGTATATTGTATGGCCACAGTCCCAGTAAACTAGACAGTTGTATATTCTGAATTCTGTGGAGAGACATGGTGTGTATATTTTATCTTCTAATTAGCTTCCCTTCTCTCCCTCCCCCTCCATTTTCTTGGGTGCTTGCTGCTCAGAAACAAAAAGACATTTATAGCTCAGAGTTTAGCAGTATCAGAGTGTAAGTGCGGGTCAGGCCTGATTTATGTGGCACCACCGATAAGCAGGAGAGAGTGGGACATGGGGTTAGGTAAAGCTGGTGAACTTGTCTTGGCTTATGTCTTTGATTTTGTAGGCAGCCAACATCCCTCTGGTGTCAGAACTAGCCATTGATGACATCCATTTTGATGACTTTTCCCTTGATGTTGACGCCATGATCACAGCTGCTCTCCGGATGTTCATGGAGCTGGGGATGGTTCAGAAATTTAAAATTGACTATGAGGTGAGATGAGATGCTCTGTGTTGGAGCTAAGGAGTGCACCTGGCAAAGTGTTGCAGCCACTGTGATGTAAAGCCTTTCCAAAGATACGATGTAGGGGATGGTCCCTGCCTGTGTGCCCCATGGAAGTGCCACGAGAATCTGGCAGAGTGTTCGTGGAAGTTTAGGTTTTTGCTTTGTCTTGTTAAAAATGTCTTTATTAGATTTGTCTTATTTTGGTGCATATGACTGTTTTGCCCATGTGTAAGTATGTGCACCACGTGCATGCCTGGAACCCAGGGAGGTCAGAAGAGGTTATCAGATACCCTCAAACTAGAGTTAAAGATGTGAACCGGGCCCAGGCCTTCCACACGAGCAATAGGTGCTCTTAACCACTCAGCCGCCTACCAGCCCCTTGTGGAAAGTCTGATCATCTTGTGGTATCACTTTAGCAGTGGTCTCCTGAGGACACAAACCACCCCCTAACTTCACCCCCTCCCATTTCAGACCCTGTGCAGGTGGCTTCTGACCGTAAGGAAGAACTACCGAATGGTTCTCTACCACAACTGGAGACACGCCTTCAACGTGTGCCAGCTGATGTTTGCCATGCTCACCGTAAGTGTGCCTGTGGGTGGTGGAAGGTCACCTCTGTTCATGTGCACCTCCTGGCTTTCTCCTATGCATTTCTATTTCACTGAAAAACTGCCCCATGATTATCCCGCAGCAACCCACATATGTCCTGTTTATGGTAGTGTATATTTGACAACAGTTTCCTTAAAGCTACAAAATCATTAACACCTTAGCGCAGGTGGATAGCCCTAGAATGAACACCAGAACTTTTTTTCAGGGTTCTCCTTTGGTAAGCTGGTTCTCTTGTCCATCCTTACTTCCTACCCCTAATGCTTGGGTTTTAGGTGTATTTTTTTTGTGGAGGAACTAGAGATGAGTCACAGGGCAGAGAAATCACTGGTTAAGATTGGGTTGCTGCAAAGACCCAAGAGGGTATGTGAACATGACCATGAGAACATGGAATTCTGAAAGAACACTTGCTTGGGGGAAATGCCCAGGGAGGCCTCAGGAGCAGGAGGGGGTAAGAGTGGACACACAGGGTTCAGAGGCTCGCTAAACTGAAATTATCTGTCCCTTGGGTCTAACTCACTGATGGAGGCCTGTGTGATTTATAGAGAACACCAGCACAGCTGGCCAGAAAAGGCCTTGGGATTAACTCCGAAAGCAAACGTTGATGGCACGGATCAAAACAAAACCCTCTGCTTGTTCCCGTTTGCTAGTGAGAAACGCTGGTCTGGTTTCTACTCCCACTGTTGAGTGACCAAGGAGAATGTTTTCTGACTTAAATATGTTAGGCTTTCTGCTACTTAGTAATGTAGATAAGTAAGATAGATTACATGTGTGTGTATACATAAATATATTTACTATGCAAAAAATAGATGATGGGTTCTGGATTCTTGCAACCTAAATACAAATACCTCATTTCTTTGTACCCATCTGAAAATGTAAACACAAAATTGGGACTTCTGTATAAAATGCATTTTGTTTTGGTCCAAACAAACGAAGACCATTCTACCTCTCCATGAAAATCTTCTCCCTGTTCTCTGCCCATTAAACTTCTCCCCAACCTTTAAGGTACTGCTCCAGTGCTAGTTTTTTTTTTTCTACAGAGGAACCCCTTTCTCCTGAGACATCAATATTTGCTTCCTTCCCCATAGTGCTAGTGTAGGACAGCTATCTCATCTCTGCCTCTTAAGTGCCCAATCTCGAATTCTCTGTTAAGCCACCTGAGGAAAGAGCCAATTCCTTGTTCCTCCAACAACATTCATGTGTGTTCCCAGCCTCTTCAGACCAGCATGCCTATACTCTGTCATGCACTCAGTCAGCTCTCAGCCATGTGTGTTGGATTGGCTTCAATTCTAGTGTGCATCAGATGAGACTAAAAGGTCTTTACTCTCTGCTTTGGAACTCTCGTGGGTCCACTGCTGCTTAAGGATGAAGCCGACTCACTAGGAAAGCCAGACAGGTACTGCCTTCTACCGTGTACACCATTGGAACCATTCATCTTGCTCAACTTTAATTGAGCTCAGTAGACAAGAAATAGTTTTTGTGTGGAGGCTTCACGAGTCTGGCTCACACAAGGCAATGACTTATTAACTAGTTATCTTGGAAAACTTGTGGATTTGTGGAATTGCCAAAATAAGCAAGCAGAAGTATTGTTCAGAGAGGGTAAACAGAAATGTTGATGACGCTGTGCATTGTAGGTATCAAGGACAGAGGTGGTCTTTTATAACAAGCCCCCAGGGAAGCGCTCATTTGGCAGCAGTGATGGGGTCATGCTGCACCCACAGGTGTAAAAAGGTGCGAATACTGAGCTTTCACCACCGAACGTTTTTGTAGTACCAACAGTCCTGATACTTTTAAATAGTGTAAAAGAAGTAGAGCTGAGCTCTCCGGCTGTGCCCCGCCCCCCATAACTGGAGGCATCGTGCTGTCAGAGTATTTTAAGGGTGCTTTGTGTTTGCTCAGCAACTTGAAGAGTGTCACTGTTAGAAAAAGTCTGGGTTTTGTTTTTGTATTCATGCTGCTGCAAAAATAGAAGCCTTCACTGTTGAAGTTCTCCGAGGGAGACGGGAGGGAGGTTGCAAAGTGCGGAAAGGCGTCTTCAGAAAGAAGATGTCGGTGGATATTATTTTAGTCTCCCGCACACAGAACTATGCCGTTGCATCTGGAAGAGTCGTTACTTTCCGCTCCTCAGGTTTCGCTGAACTTAGTGAAGGATGACAGCGGGCTGAAACGCCAGCTTTTGTTTTTCTCACACAAATGTCTTCTCCAGCTTGATCTTGGAAAATCTGGTTAAGCAGAATTTTTTGAATCAAGACACTAACTCTGGAGACAGCGGAGACTGCTTAGCCTATATAGACAAAGTTCACGTCAAATCTGGTTTCTGATGTGATCTCCTGGGGGAAAGGATACCCGTGTTATGTCTTTGTGGGCACCAGAGCTGCACACACCCCTCAAGTATGCTGAGGTCTCTCACTATTTCACCAGACATTCTGTCTCCATTTAAGGGACCACATATTTTATTTTCATGTGACAAGTTAAAACCAAAACCGAACTTTTCTAGTATTCCGGATTTTTTTGTTTTAGACTCATGTAGCCCAAGGCAACCTTAAACTAGCTATGTAACTGACAATGCTCTTGAACTTCTTTTTTAAAAAAAAAAAAAGTTTGTATTATTTGTGAGGCTTTTCAAGCATACACACAAAGTTTTTTGAATACATCCACTTCTCACCGCTCCTAATTCCTATCAGATATATTCCCCACTTTCTCCCCCTCCCAACTTGTCATCATTTCTTACTTAATTTTTAATGTTTTGAGAATTTGGCACATGAACACTATATTTACATAATGTCCACCCTCCTTGTCACTCTCTAATACTTCCCTTCCCCACCATTCCCTCTCCAATTCATGACCTCCTCTTCTTTAGTTGCATAATTATAATTACATAATTAATTATAATTATATATCAGTGACCTGGGTCCATTTGATGCTGTTACTATGTGCATATGTTTAGGGCTGACCACTTGGCATTAGGTAATCTATCAGGAGCTCATCCCTGGGGAATACTGACTCAGAAGCCATGAATTGCCTGTAGCATTTCATCTAGGAGTGGGGCCTTGTGAAATTTCCCCATTCACACTGACATGCCAACAGAGCTGTCATTATGTAGGTCTTGTTTAGGTAGCCATATTGTTGATATCTTATGGGTACAGCTTCCCTGACGTATATAGAAGACACATTCTCAGAGCAGACATCTTGGTTCTCTGACTCTTACAATCCTTCTGCTCTCGCTTCCAAGATGTTCCCTGAGCCGTAGGTGGAGTAGTTTTGTAGATGCATCAACTGTGGTTGGGAACCCATGGCATGTTGTTTTCAGCATTTGACCAGCTGTAGATTCTTGTAATAATCTTCATCTGCTGCAAAAAAAGAAAAAGAAGCCTCTTCGATGAGGAGTGGGAGCTACATGTGTGGGGATAAGAAGACATATTTGGAATACAGTTAGAAATTATACTGGTTTGGGAAAGTAGCCATACTAGGTTTTCTGCTGGGGTCCATGACCTTGGCAGCCATGGATAGTTGGCTAGGTTTATAGTACCAAACATGAATTCCCTCCTCTTGAGCAAGCTGTTGGTTACCACCAAGGTATCAGTGCCACTATTACACCCTTGGGGATATTTTGCCACATTCTGATCATTGTGTGCCTGGGAGGCTTAACAGCTAGGTGGGACTGGTGATGGGTGTGTTTGCTTTGGAAACTTGCATAACACTCTCAGACACGATGAGAGCTAGGTTTCAGGGCAAAAGCTTCCTGGCCAGTTCCAGCTCGGTTCCTCAAAGTACTGTGTCAGAAGCATGTAGTATTTTCAGCAACAGGTCTTACCTACAAGTTCTGGGAGGCAACCAAGAGCAACGGCAATGGGCTACATTACTTGGGTAATCTCTTTGACCCCCCCCCCCCGGACAACTTGAGAGAAGTTTCCTATGCCTGGAATTGGGGGTTTTGTTAGAGTCTAATGCCCCTGAGAGAGTATTATTGCTCCAAGTAGAATAACTGCATTTAAATTGAGTATATATGTACACACACACACACACACACACACACACACACACACACGCGCGCGCGCGCGCGCGTGTGTGTGTGTGTGTGTGTGTGTGTGTGTGTGTGTAGGGGTATTTTATGTAAACATTAAAACAATGTTTTCCTATGACTTTTTCAAACATCCTTAATGTTATTTATCCCTTCCCCCTTCTCTTCCTCTCTATTTCTCCCCTCCTCTCTTCCCAGTCAAACCCCTAATTTCCCTTTAAACCCCTAATTTCCCTATTTTACCTACATAGCATCTATTACCCCGTCTCCAGGGCTCCTTCTGCACCCCTACTCACGGTCCCTTTTTACTTTCCTGTTTTCTGTGGTTTCTTTAGGTTGAACTTCTGGTCATCTTGCCTCTACTTCCCAAGAAAGGGAGAGCCTGAGAGAGGGAGAGACTGAGGGAGGAAGAGACTGAGGGAGAGACTGAGAGAGGGAGGGAGGGAGGGAGGGAGGAAGGAAGGAAGGAAGGAAGGAATTTTTCCACTATATCTCCAAACATCTGGTTCAGTCTGGATCACAAAGCCAAGAGAATGCGCTGTGTGTACTGAAATTCCCTCTAGATGGCGCTCCAAGGCAAAGTTTCCCAGCCAAAATCTCTGGAAACCGGATGGTGGGGGCGGTCAAACCTTGACCAACCTTCCCAGAAAGAGCTTCTTATCCTCTGGCAGGAGAGATACTGAGGCACACTGCCCAGTGCAAAATGAATGTTTTCCTTAGAATACTCACCAACAAAGCCGGTCTGACGCAACGGAGCCTCTTCTATGAGGATGGCCTGTTTTATGACTCCCTCCTGACCCACTGTGCCTTAGCATGAGTAATCTTGAAACCTGATCGTGCATTTTCCTAAACCCATTGTCTGGGAGAATGGGAAGGTGCATAGCTGTGTGTCACCGCTGAGCATATTTTTGGCCCACAAATTACAGGACACTCAAATTATGAATATATACATCAATTTCCTAGCCTTTATCTCTAAAATTATTTCACACAGAGAAAATAAGATTATTGACTCAGAATGGTTTTGCAGAAGCCTCTTGGCTCATGTTTAGGAAACCAATAATATTAGCTCATTAGAAATTAAAAGAAACAAAGGAGAACTTCATAAGACAAGCATTTTGATGTAGATTTTGATGGACGTTTCGTTCTCTTGGCACCCCATTGATCACTTATTTATTTGTTCCATGCCCCTGGCTGAAAGTTTTAAAAAGATGTGAAATCAAAACTTCAAGGTTATCTTTTATTTTAAAGAGATACCTATATAGTGAAGATTTACTGAGCTTTGATTTCCTCTAATAAATATTCTAGGTAATGCTGTCATCATTTGTGGCTAAAACAGAGAATAAGAAACCTATACATCACTGATACCTATACAAATACTCCTTATTTGTGTAAGTAGAAAGAAATACTATCCCACTGTGCACCTGTGTGATGAAAGATGATGACCATGTCTCCTGCATTCACAGTGTAAGCCAGATGCAGGAACGAACCGTTTTTGCTTGTAAACTACATGGCATGTCTTGATGTCTGAGTTACGGGGATACTTTTGGAGGGGTGTTATAAATGATATATGGTCTCTGACAGATTTTCCAAGGGGGAAAAGAAGGCTTCCTTAGGGTCAGGATTCTTTACTGTCTTATAAATAGATTCATTAGCACTTAGGGCATTGCCCTGCTTCCTGGAGGGGCTCAATAAATACTAATTGAATTGAGTGTATTTAGTTTAGGGCAATATCATCAAAGAACCGTGTTGCTCAGTGCCCAGGGTTTTTGTTTGTTTGTTTGTTTGTTTGTTTGTTTGTTTAGCACTGTAAGATGACAAGTAGCTTTCATTACTCAAAATCTTGCTCTCATCACAGCACAGCACACTCAGGTTCAGCTGGGGTTCATATAGGATATTATGATCTTGCAGAATTCACTGGATATGAAAGGGAAAGAGCATGCGATCACATTAAAATTTATGGTGGTACTGGAGGCATGGCACTGGTGGGGAACCGCAGTTAAACACTAATAATAACTGAGTGTCACAGCACACACGTTGTCACCTCCTGACATTTACCGGGAAATCTTAAATCTTTAGTGTGGAGGTGGTGTGCTTCAGTCCATCTCTGTGTTGTTTGGGGAGATAGCCACGCCATTTTATTGATAATTCAAACTGGAGAGCAGAACGGACATTTAGGGGGAAGTCAGTCCTGTTCTCAAGCTGGAGAGTCTCCTGACATCCGCTCACAGCCATTGTCAGATAAGTCCTTCACCTTTGAAGCCAAAAATTTCCTCCAAAAGGAATCTCAGGAGCACAGTTAGAACTCCTTGGGAAGGACAGGGCCATCCAGATGTTAGATAAAACATTTCAGTAACCAGAACCCTCCTCATGACAACAATCAATGCCTTTGCTGATTGTGGCATTGGAGGACACAATGAGTTCTTGATGTTCTGTTCTGTGACCAGCTACACTAAAGGAAATGGCAACCATGCTTGAGATCTCCAAATAGCATCTCCCTAGCACACTTTGTCAGTATAAATAGTTACACTTAACATAATTGCTATACGTTGTATAGCTATTGCTATATGAGTATAATGATATTTGCATGTTAAAAAATACTCAAATCTTCATGGAGATGTGAAGTAGAAATGTGGCAAATTTTGTATTTAGGGGAGGATTGGTGCTTAATATTTCTATAGAACATCAGCTGTGGACACTATAAA